AGTTCTGTGTATATTTATGTCATAGACCAATATATTTGCACATTAAAATAAATAGGAAGACTAAGATGTTAACAGTGGAAGGGCTACAAATGCTTTTTTCTGCCTTATCTACAACATGCCCCCCTCTACACACACACACACACACACACACACACACACGTGTTCACACATGCGTGCACACACGNCAAATGCTTTTTTCTGCCTTATCTACAACATGCCCCCCTCTACACACACATACACACACGTGCTCACACATGCGTGCACACACATAAACAGTGTGATGGCAGAAACTTTTGTTTTATTCACCAGAGTATCCCCCAGACACAGCACAGATTCTGGCACACAGAGGTTCTAAATAAGTATCTGCTAAATAAAGAAATGTACACATGCTATTTTCATAGTTGGGGAAAAGGGGATTTTACATTTTTTTAAAAAAATGTCTTTATTGATTTCCAAGAGGAAGAGGGAAGAAGAGAGATAAAAACATCAATGATGAAAGAGTCACTGATCAGCTGCCTCCTGCATGCCCCCCACTGGGGATCAAGCCCACAGCCCGGGCATGTGCCCCGACCGGGAATCGAACCGCAATCTTCTGGATCCTGGGTTGATGCTCAAGTGCTTAGCCACACTGGCTGGGCTACATTTATTTTTAAACCCTTCTGCTTAATTCATGATCCACTGTTTCTAGCTCAATACCTTGTACATGATCTTTTCAACTAACCTTTGATGCCTAACTACTGGTTCCTCTTACCTCCAATATTATAGACTGCTTTAGAAATATGAATATTAAAACAAAACAAAAAAAACCCACAACAGTAATTCTTCTACAAAAGATAGAATATTAAAACATGTCCTTACTTGCAGGCCTTTCTGTCACCCTGCCATATAGTCACCTGGGAGTGTAGCAAAGGGATAGGTAAGACCTATGCTAGTCCTTCAAATGGGATCTCTCCCCTAAGACAACGTCTACAGACTCTGCAATTCAGAGGCTTTTTCTCAGCCTGTTCACTGAAGCCACTCAGAGTACACCACTAATGCAGGAAGAAAACACTGTGATTGACAGCGTAATGAATGTTTAATCATGTCAAGCATATTGCCTATTTGGAGCATGTGCAGTATATTCACTCTCTCACTGCCAAGGACACCATGATGCCATGAAGTTAGAAACTACTAATGGACGCACATGCACATTCGTTTTACCGTTAGGGACCAATACTTGCTGGAAAGCACTTTTTGTAATGTACCTCAAAACAAAAGTGATTTAGTGACCATCTCTTATTGAGGACGCTCCCCCTGCTCTGCGTGGGCCTCCATTAGCAGAGGTAATCAGGAGCTGGCTGGAAGGAAGGCCTGCTCGTGTTTCAGAAGCCTCAGGTCAGACACTGGTGCGAGCGCTTCTGCCGGCAGGATTCTGATCACTGCAGCGAGCAGGTGGGCCCACAGCAAGGGCCAAGTTTCTTTCCGGAGAGAGCGCGTTGTGACATCACTACCATTAGATGGATCTTATTAGGGGCTTCAAATTTACTTGATGTTTACAATATATGACATTCAAATTCAAGATTATAAGCATATCTTTATAAATGCTAAATGTCTTTGACTAACAAAAACAAAAAATATCCAGCGAGCTCTGGAATCTTAAATCTTCCCATAAGCCAATGTTTTCCATTTGTTTCAAAAGGAAAATCCTTCAGCTGTCTTTCTTACAAGGCACTCTGTGATAATGCCATCCAAAATTAAGTATGTACACTATAATGAGCATTTTTCATTTAAATTTTAAAATTATTTAGTTTCTTATTTTTATTTTTACCATATATGGTGTCATGCTGTATAGAACGGTCTGTAATTTTTTATAATTAATGAATTATACAAAAAATTATATATGTGTACATATGGGTTATTTTATTCCATTTAACTGTACAGATGTACTATTAATTCACTTAACCATTTACCTGATGATGGACACTTCCAGTGTTTATAATTTTTTGTTATAACTAAAACTGCTGCAGGAAATATCCTTACAGAGCTCTCTTACGTGCAGTGAATATTTCCTTAGGACAGATACTTAGAATTGCTAGAAAGAAATTTTCAATTTGACAAGAAACTGTCAAAGGGGCCCTTAAAAAGGCCATTCCAATTTATACCATGCATCCATTTTCCAATACATTCACCAATACCAGCTATTATTAATCTTTTAAATATCTGTCCATTTAACGAGCATAATACGGATTTCACAATTTTAAGTCACATTTTCCAAATCACCAGTGAGATGTTAACTGGTTACTTATATTTTTTTCTCTTCTGTGAAATACAAATATAAATGCTTCTACTTATATTCTTTGTCCATTTTTCTTTTTCTCTTACCTGTACACATTTTTATATATTCTGGATATTAATTCCTTATCTACTGTAAATGTTGTAAATATACCCTCCTAGTCTGTCATTATTTTAACTTTGTTTATGCTGCCCATTGTCGTATAGAAATTTAATTTTTAATAATTTAGTCATCGCCCGGCCGGGTGTGGCTCAGCGTCGACCTAGGATCCAGGCGATCGGGGTTCAATTCCCGGTCAGGGCACATGCCCGGGTTGCGGGCTTGATCAATGACTCTCTCATCATTGATGTTTCTCTCTCTCTCTCCCTCTCCTTTCCTCTCTCCGAAATCAATAAAGATATTAAAAAAAAAAAAAAAAATTTTAGTCATACTTCAAGTCTTTTTCTTTGTAACGTTACATTTTTCCTGGCTCCATATGTCCTGATTAAAAAACATTCTCCTATACTTTTTTCTAAAACGGAGGTTTTGGAATAGCCATCCTGTCCTTGTGAGGTGCTGAGGAAACCAGGTGACAGGGCAGTTCCTTCCCAACCCCTCCTGCTCCAACCCCTCGAGCTGTGATTTACAATTTAGCATCTCCTGCTAATGTTGTCTGGGGGGGAAAGGGTGACACCTCAACCCGAGGAGCTGCTGTGAGGGAACAATGACTAGCTGTGGTCCCTCTGCTGCCTGGGTGCCCTAGCCCAGGACTCCCCCAGCCCCACGGAGAGCTGACCCGACTGGGGTGTGGCTTCCTCCACTCCAGGGCCCGGCAGAGCAGCTGATACCCCTGGAGGAAAATGAGCTTACAGGCCAAAATAGCAAGGTATTTGAAAAGTACAACCACTGCAAAAGGAAGACAACATGATCAACTACAGATTCTGTCAGCAGCAGAAATATTAGGACTGAATGACCAAGAGTTTTAAATGGGATTGCTAACTACACTAAACACAGTGTAGGAAAATGAAACAGGAGCAAGAAAACACAGGAGCGACCCAAGCAAGAACACTGGGTATCGGAAATATAATACTTCACATAAAGAACACAATGTATGGTATAAACAGCAGAATGGAACCAACGTGAATACTGGAAGATGAGATTGGGAAAATCTCCCAAGAAGAGGAAAAATACAAATAATTTTTTTAAAATAGCTAAGACCAAGGCAGAAGGAAAAAATATATGGACAATTAGCCAGAAATAAAAATCGACATAATATCAACGTGGTGGGTGTTTGCAGTGAGGGAGACCAAAAGCTAAGAGAGCTTCCTGTATCTAATTTCCTAAATCTAAAATTTTTTTAGATAAAAATTTTAAGAAGTAGAAATACAGAAAAATTAGGACAAATTGAAAAAATACAGGATGTGAGAAATATGTCTGAATATAGAAGTAGAAGAATGATTAGCTCTAGGGAAAATAAGAAGCTGTGCAAGAATAGTACGTGTACATTATGTGTACACTAGATGGCCCTAAACAGTATTTACAAAGTCATAATGGTGTGGGGATGAATGTTTACCTACCCAAAATTAGGGTACAGACACCTGAGGAAGGCAGCGTGCGTGTGGCAGGGACAAGGGAGGAAAGAGAGCCAAATCCTTATCTTCCAGTGGGAATCAGGAGCCAATGCGTAAAACAGGAAAATTAATAGGTGGCTAAACAAGAATATCACTTAGAGACACTGTGTTAAATGGCAACGTAATCTGCCATAAATGAAGGGACAGTGGTTGCTTTAAGGAAGGCCACAGGGGCTGGGGGTGCAGAACGGCTGTTCCTCAGCACTCTTACAGAGCGACCTGAGTCTCTAAACTATGTGATGTGTAACTTTTATTAAAACAAATACTTAAGTCTATGAAGGGAAAAAAGAGAACCCAGATTTCCTAAGGGCTGCACCACACCCTCTCGTCTGCGGAGCCGGGCTCTGGAAGCCAGACTGCTACACCCTCCGCAAATAAAAGGAAGCAGGGCACCTTCCCTGGAAGACACTTGAGGAATCGACTGCAGACCGCGTGTCCCGTTCAGCGAGCAAGCAGCACTCCAGCTACTGAAAGGCATGAACTTCTCCTTTCTCGTGCACCTCTGTGCCGATCGGAACTGATATGGGTCCCGCTGGGAATGAATCGCAACTTCTGCCTCCTTTCCCCCACATGCTTGTAAAACTCTGCCGGACACAAGGAGTGAGGGCGGATCCCTGACTACGGCACCCACCAAAGTTCTTAAAATGACTTCCGCACAGAGCCCATTTCACATCTTTCTCCAAATCTACGTAAGAAATAAGTTTTGTGGGGTTTTCCCCCCACAGATAATGACTGCTGCTCACCACTGTGAATAAACGAAGGCCTGGGAAAATCTGCAATGCTTCCCCATCAAACACAGACAACACTGCATACAGATACGATCTTGGCGAGCAGCAATGTTTATGGTAGGTCACAGTATTTCCATGTTTTATTATCAACTACATCTTGATCACACAATTGCTATGGCTGTTTCCAAGACAGTATGCAAAAGATATCAGACATGTTGCATCCTGTCTTACTGTTCCTATGATCTGACGCAGAGCCACAGAAGTCTAACATTCAAGCACTGGTTCCTATTTCTTGCTTATAGGTCCTGAGGTGGAGTTTCTTTTAGGGGTAGGGGGCAAATCAAGTGCATATATGGAAGGAAATAGAGCAGTTTAGGGAAGCCAACGTACCTTCAGCATGTAGTAGAAGGGGAACCATGACAGGAAGAGGTCAGAGAAGAATTCGGCAATGCTGAACACACCATACACGACCCAGTAGGTCAGCCACTGGGTGTCATCTTCTTTGTTGGGGCTCTCTATGGCTTTCATTCTGAAAGGCAATACAAAAGCAAATATATCATGTAGTAAGATCTCAATGAAACATTTTCAAACATTCTTTCACAGCCTGCCCTCCAACACCGAGAAACACAGCCAAATGTATGCACTGTGTCACTAGACACAAGAGTAAACATAAAGACAGGAAGCCATGTGCAGCTCAGGCAAAGTCATAACTATTTGTTTTACTGTTCTGGTTGTCAGAGAAACCAGTACCAGCTGTCTGCTGGATCTCCACCCTGCTCAGTCTCCACCCAGAACCCAGGAGACACCACCAATGACTGGGAACCTGGGTAATTCCCACTCCCATGGGGGTTCCTGGCACCAGGGATATATCAAGAATTCTCCCATGTTAACTCAGTTCTTATGCACTTTTAATAACTGAGGTACATCATGGGTGAACAGGAATTTCCATAAAGGAACTTCTGGAACATAGTTCAGGCACTACCCAAAATCCATAACATATTTCGCAACAGGTGAAAACAAACATATAGTGTCCTTCTCGTTCTATATTATGTGATCCTCAGGCTGTGGTCTTTCCTCCCCTCATCAGTTAATAACATGACTTTCTCAATACCAACTACTACTTAAACAAAATTCATTCTGCAAATGAATAGAAATAAATTTAAAATAATATTTTTGTTTTTAAATTCCCATCCCCTTTGGCAACCATCAGTTTGTTCTCTATATTTAAGGGTCTGATTCTGTTTTGTTTATGCATTTCTTTTGTTGGGTTTTTTTTTTAGATTCCACATATAAGTGAGATCATACAGTATTTATTTTTCTCTGACTTACTTGACTTAGCATTATGCTCACTAGCTGTAAGCATGGACAACTAGGCTGCTTTCATAGCTAAGCTATACCTACTAATGCTGCAATGAACACAGGGGTACATATGTCTTTTCGAATTAGTATTTTTGTCATCTTCAGATAATACCCAAAACTGGAATTGCTAGATCATGTGGTAGCTCTATTTTTAATTTTTTTGAGGAATCTCCATACTGTTTTCCATAGTGGCTGCACCAGTCTGCATTCCCACCAACAATGCACGAGGGTGCCCTTTTCTCCACACCCTCGCCAACACTTGTGTTGATTTATTGATAGTAGCCATTCTGACAGCTGTGAGGTATCTCATTGTGGTTTTAATTTGAATTTCCTTGATGATTAGTGACATTGAGCATTTTTTCATGTGTCTGTTGGCCATCTATATGTCCTCTCTGGAAAATTTTTTATTCTGGTCCTCTGCTAATTTTTCAGTAGGACTGGTTTTTTGGTGTTAAGTTGTATGAGTTCCTTATATATTTTGGATATTAACCCTTTATTAGATGTATCATTTTCAAATATCTTCTCCCGCTCAGTAGGTTGCCTTTTGTTTTGTTAATGATTTCCTTTGCTGTCCAAAAACGTTTTAGTTTGATGTAGTTCCATTTGTTTGTTTTTTCTTTTGTTTCCCTTGCTCAAGGAGATATATCCAAAAAGATATTGCTAAGAGCAATGTCAGAGTTACTGCCTATATTTCCTTCTAGGAGTTTTATGGTTTCAGGTCTAACATTTAAGTCTTTAAACCACTTTATTTTTGTATATGGTATATGAAAGTGGTTTCATTTCACTGTTTTGCATATATCTGTCCAATTTTGCCAACACTACTTATTGAAGAGACTGTCTTTACCCCACTGTATATTTTTGCTTCCTTTGTCATAGATTAATTAATCATATAAATATTTGCTTCCACGCTCTGTATTCTATTCCATTGATTTCCATATCTGTTTTTATGGCAGTGCCATTCTGTTTTGATTACTGTAACTTTGTGGTTTAGTTTGATATCAGGGAGCATGATACCTCCCACTTTGTTCTTTCTCAAGATATCTTTGGCTATTTGGGGTCTTTTGTGGTTCCAAATAAATATTAGTATTAACTATTGTAGTAAAAAATAATCTTCTTTTACTTCTGAATCATGGAAATTTCTTCCAGTCTTGGAAATCTCTTCATTCTAAACCTGAATTTCATAATTTTTTTTTATCCTATCCTAACATCTATCTGGATACTTATCATAACTAAAACAGAAAACTAGAGGAAACCTGAATCTTGTTTAGCCCATGATATGGGTTAAGTACTGAAAATACATTGGCTACTTGGTAAAATGGGTTCCTCAAAGAGACAGTTAGGCTGCTGAGTCATGCTGAGTCATTCACTAAGACAGCCTCTGAATTAATCAGAAGCAGCTGTTGGTGTATATGTGCGTGTGTGTTTTTAAGAAAATAACCAAGGGGGGAAGCTGTATGAGATGCCTGCTATTGAAATAAGAAAGAGAAGGGAAGGAAGAAGTAGTAAAGTGAGTGCTGCCTTGAATATCAAGACTGAGCAAGTTTTTCTCTTTTAAACACAAGAATCACATAAAATGAATTTAAGAGAGCTGATTATAAAATAATGGCTTGTAACATGCGGACTGTGTCTGTGTTTTAGCTCTATTCAGATAGATGCTAGATAATATAACAGAAGGCCAAAGAAAAATGTAGGCAAGCACATTAACCAAAGGACTAACAATGGTACACACACCCTTTACACGTCAGGTTTTCTCCTCTGCTTTTCCTGAGTAAGGATGTATCAATTTATCAGGCAACAGAGAGGATTCAAGGAATCACAGGATGCGTTCTATGCCTTTAAGTCATTTGCAGTCCAGCCAAAATGGCAAAGCTAAAGAATGGGAGGGGTAAGGGGCCTTATAATTATTTAACTCTCACCACAGCCCTATGGAATAGGTGTTATTCTCAGTCTTGAGAGGAAGAAACAGAAATATGGCCAGGGTGCAGAAGATGGTTGGCAACAGCTAGCAGCTCTAAAAATTCACTGAGCAGAATAAAAAAATCACAGAATGTGGAGTTGGAAGATCTTAGAGATAAACTATTTCAAATTTTACATTTTATAAACAAAACATGAATTTCAAAGAGGAAAGAGTGATATTAAAATGAGTTTCAACTCAAACTATAAGATTATAGAAGCATGTGTTCATATATTTTTTAAGGGGAACATGGACTGTTTAAATAAATTTTTAGTGTATCATATACTGAAATATTCTGAAGCCTTTAAAAAGGATATTGACAGGGAATGATGTCTAAGATATACTGTCGACTGTTAGACGAAAATTTTTAATTTTGTGTAGTAAAAAACCCAAAAACACATTTGTGTTTACAGATTAAGAATAGTATCCAGAAATATGTATTTCAAATTCTTAACGCTATTCCTGGGTATTGGAATTACAGAATTTTATTTTTTTTTTCTGTTTTTGCAATGAGCATGTACTATTTTTTTTAACAAAAGTAAAAAGATTTCTATTTGGGGGGAAAAATGAGCACCAGACTTTCTATAACTACTTCCTCCTATGAGATTCGGTCTCTCTTTAGGGCTTTGTTAAAAACAAACACTGAAGTGAACATCAGATATATTCACTTAATTTCTCTCCTGAGGAAACAGCTTGTGGTTTCCTTATAAACAAGCTTCTCTAACAATGATCAGACACAATCTGTTGTGTTTTAGAGCATTAAAAGGCCTTTAAATACACACACACACACACACACACACACACACACACACACACAGCAGAGTCATGCAGCCCATCCCATGAAACTGACTCATCCTAATTTTCCAGTTAAACAAAGCAAACTATCAAAAAACAAACCAAAAAAAAACCATAAAAAACCTCACTACGCTGAACTACGAAATAGCCAGGCTTTCCCCATCATTTCTTCCCAGTGCTCATCTGGCTTTACATCATTCCACATCCTTAGCTTGCAGCTTTGTATCCTGGTCCTACCACTTACTAGGTATATGACCTTGGGCAAGTTATTCTGGGCCTCAGTTTCCTCACTTGTCAACTAGGGATAAGAAACCTCATTGTGTTGCTGTGCAGACTAAATTAGTTAATACATATAAAGCACTTAGAAACAATGACTGGCACAGAGTAAGCAGCACTAAATATTACCTCAATAGGTAATAATTACAATATGGTAATAATTTATTATCACCAGGAGGCTGAAGGTTAAAAAGAAATTAGAGTGATAAGAACACTCCAGACCTTCCGGCTAAGCAGAGCTGATAAAGGATTAATAGCATTCTCAATAGGCTAAAAGGAGATTAGAAAATTACCCGTGGATTTTCATTATACCTCTCTCTCCAAATCCCAAATGCTACAGAGAGTAAAGAGCCAGCTGAAATTCCAAAAACTGCATAGGTGGGTCAGTGGGAACAAATGTGACACTGCTGAAAACATTTTTCAGGCACACCCTGCAAGGGTGCCTGGCTGAAATTCTCCACATTGGTATTGAACTGGAACCGGTAATGTCCACAACCCAATGGCCAGCCCCTCATCCAGACCACTGGGCCCCAGTGACTGGTACCAACGGCCTCTACCCTCCTGGCCCATCTACTGTCCACACCTTTGCTGCTGCTTTCTAAAAGCAAGGGCAGGAACCAAGTGTGGCAAAGGATAGCATTAAACACAAAGTCCGTGTTTGTTATGTATAACATGTAACAGCATTCAGAAGTTTAAGCAATAAAAAAAATACAAAAAACATCCTACCCACCTTTACCTAATATTTGTATTATGAATATTCTACTGTTGTTATCATTAAGAAACTAACACTGGCAAACAGGAAGGGCAGATATGGGAGAGGCCTATCTTCCGGTTCTGAGAGATTCCTGTCATAGTCTCAATTACTGAGCTTTTCTTCTTCCTCCGTCAGTGACAACCTCAGTTAGGTTGTTATCACTGGGATGGATGTTACATTTTCATACTTCACTGACTTTATAAATTAAGTATTTTTGACGCTGTATTAACTCTTTCAGACCCAAAGGTTATTCCTAGTTATTGGGTTATTTTGACACCTTCATTTATGTCATTAAATTGAAAAATGTCAACTTGCTACACGAGAAAGGAGTATGTGCTACACAAACATACATATACAATGAAGGGTAACCATAAGATCGATGGCAAGTGTG